TGTCCATCTCCAGGGACGAGCAGGGATGTGGACGGATGGGGAAGACAAGAGAGGGTGGTGCCCCAACAGATGGTTGATGGAGAGGGAGAAAGGCTCATTCATGACCAGATGGGCCTCCTAGATACCTAAGGGTTGCCCCTCATTCCAACAAAGACCCTTTGCAAAAGGCAGCAAGAGATGCTAAAGGGCTCTCAAAGCAAGCTCTCAAACATCAAAAGCCTTTGCAGGACAAGGGAACAGAAGAGAAGCCCAGAAATAAGATGTTTCTATTACAGCAACATCTCAAATCAGTAAAGAGATGGGCATGGAGGACAAAATGGTGTCAGCACACTAGTCACACAGAAAATAACACTGGGACCAGAGTGAGTAAAGTGCTCATGGCCAAGCCTGGAAAGCAAAGTCGGATCTCCAGGACTGATGTACTAGAAGGAGAGAATCAATTCCAACAAGTCATCCTCGAACCTCCACTCATAGCACATGTGTATCCACATACATACACATGCATATACAAATAAATAAATGAAATGTAAAAAACTAAAATTTAAAAAAGACAAAACTTGGTGAAATCTTTACACCAAACCCCAGAAAAATTTCCAAATAGATCAAGGTATAAAAATGGGGGAAAGGGGCTGGAGGGATGGCTCAGCAGTCAAGAACACTGGCTGTTCTTGCAGAAGACCTGGGTTCAAATCCCTTACAAAACTAGAAACCATGGGGGCTGGAGAGATGGCTCAGAGGTTTAGGGCACTGGCTGCTCTTGCAGAGGATCTGGGTTTGATTTCCAGCACCCACATGGCAGCTAACAACCATCTGTTAACTCCAGTTCCAGGGAATCTGGCACCATCTCCTGACCTCTGCAGGCATTGCACAACACAGGTGCTCTTACCTACATGCAGGCAATACAGGCATACACATAAAATAAAAATAATAAACAAAATATTTAAAAATTTAAAAAATGGGGGAAAAAATGAAACCAAACACTCACTAGAAAAAATGCAGGAGCTGGAGAGAGGGCTCAGTAGTTAAGAGCACTGGCTGTTCTTGCAGAGGACCTGGGTTCAATTCCCAGCACCCACATGGTGGCTAACAGCCATTCATAACTCCATTTCCAGGGGATGGGACACCCTCTTCTGACCTTCACAGGCAGTGCATAACATGGATACACCTACCTACATGCAAGCAATACACTCATACACATAAAAAAAATTTTAGTTAGGACCGGATTGAGGCAAGATGGCGGGCACACAGAATGAAAGTCCATATGATTATAATGGCAAAATAGAGCTCGCTTTGACATCTGATGGCAGGACAGTAGTGTGCTACCACCCTTCCATGGACATTCCATATGAACACACGAAACCTGTCACTTGACCAGATCCTTGGCATAATAATGAAGAAACACATGATCAAGTGCTGAAGACCAGATTAGAAGAAAAAAATGAACACCTTGAGCAAGGACCCATGATAGAACAGCTCAGCAAAATGTTCTTCACCACAAAGCACCACTGGTACCCTCCTGGACAATATCACAGACGTCGTAAGAACCTGAACCCTCCAAAAGACAGATGATGGTACTGAGATTCTTGGGAGAATCAAAGTGTTGGCCTGTGTCTCATTTGCCAATTGAGAAAGTGCAGCCTGGTGTGTTTGCTAAGATGTTATATATTAAAATAATAATAAAAATGTCTTTTCATATTAAAAAATTTTTAAAGAAAAATGCATAAATTGGATACAAATATAATCTTTGATTTGAAAAAATCAGTAAGATTTTTCAAGAATTTGCACAAGGTGATTCTAAATGCATATGAAAATGCTGATACCCAAAAGTAGTCAGAACAATTTTGAAAAAGGGGGGCTAGAGAGATGGCCCAGTGGTTACTCTTGCAGAGGACCCAGGTTTGATTCCTAGTACCCATGGTGGCTAACAACTGTCCGTAACTCCAGTTCCAGGGGATGTGACGCCCTCTTCTGCCCTCCGTGGGCATTGCACAACACAAGTGCATTTACATACATGCAGGCAGGACACTCATACACATAAAACAAAAATAATAAAAATGTTTTTAAAAAGAAGAAAAGGAAAGTTTGCCCTATCAGCTATCAAAACACATTACAAAACTATTGGAATTAGTCAAGCTTGGTGGCAGAGATTTGTAATTCCAGTACGTGGGAGGTAGAGGCAAGAGGATCAAGACTTTCAGACCAATCTGGGAAACATGACAAGACCTATAAAACACGCATACACACACACACACACACACACACACACACACACGTGCCCGCATGTGTGTGTGCATGAAATACTATTTGATATTAGAGTTAGGACAGACAGACATGAGGAACATAGTGTAGAGTTCAAAAACTGACCCACGCAAACACAGAAGCGGTTCAGATCATGGAAAACATTTGGGCCTGTTAACAATGGTGTTGGGACCACTGGTTTTCCATTTAGGAAAGGTAATATTATGTCCTTACATATCACTCTCAAAAATAATTTCCAGACAGACAAAATAACCTAAATATCCCCAGAAGTCAAAGCTTTAGAAATAAATGTAAAGTTACGAAAGTCTTAAACTGCAAACATACACAGAAAAGGAAAATGAAAAATTTGATGAAAAATGGAAAGATTTTGATGACCAAAATGCACATGGTGGCGCATAAACACACACATAAGGAAAAATTTGGGGGTCTTTTTGAGACAGGGTCTCCCTGTATCCCCAGCTGTCCTGGAACTCACTATGTAGACCAGGCTGGCCTCGAACTCACAGAGATCCACCTGCCTCCGCCTCCCCAGTGCTGGGATTAAAGGCGTGCACCACCACACCCAGCCCTATAAATCTTCCTAAAATCGTCAGTTTGTCTTTGAAAGAACACATGCACTGTAAATGACAGTCACTGTCACTAATTCACAGTGCTTCAGGGAAACACCTCCCAAAACAATCAGGCTGTGGGCAAGCCAGTATGAGAAAAGGAAAAGAAAAAGGGGCTTGCAACACAAACCTCTGCTCACAGCGGTGCCTACAGGAAACATGAGCCAAAGGTCCCCTTTTCTACTAGTTGGCAACTCAAGAGTCCTCTAGGCCAACCCTTGATTTGGACACAGTGGCATCTGTAACTGGGTGCAGGACCTTCCAGTAAAGTGTCATGCTTCTACCTGGCTGATTAAAGCTTAGGCAGATGCTCCTCCGGTTCCCACAACACTGACACCTGTCTTCCCGCACTTGACCTCCTAGAAAGTATCAAAAGATCCAGGTGTAATGGCTCCTGCCTGTGATCCCAGCACTCAGAGGCTGAGGCAAGCAGTGGGGAGAGAGGGAAGGAAGGAGGGAAGGGAGGAGCAGAAAGGGGAAGTGGAGAGATGGGGCAGGAGGAGGAGGAGGAGGAGGAGGAGAAGGAAGAGGAAGGAGGAGGGGGAGAAAAGGAAGAAGAGGAGGAGGAAGTAGTATTCCTTGTTCCCTGCTCTCTATGTCCTTATATCCCTGTTTTTTTGTTTTGTTTTGTTTTTTTGTTTTTTTAGATAGGGCCTCTCTGTAGCCCCAGCTAGCCTAGAACTTACTATGTAGACAGCACAGCTACCCAGTGCCCTGGCAGGACTTAGCTCCAGGAGTTGGTCCAGCAGCTTCCAGGCTGTGCAGTGGTCGGGGCAGGGCCAGGCCACACACTGAGCCAGTCACACTGCCCCCACTGCCCATGTCATCACCTCCTCCTAGGACATGATCTTTGGAAGGAGTACTCCATTATTCAGCTAGAACAGGCTGGCCCACCAGGGTCTTAGTTGTAGCCTGAGGTTAATAACCACCCCTGAACACAGTTACTGTATTGGTTGCTTTTCTGTTGCTCTGATAAAACACTACGACCAATGCAACATATAGAAGGAAAAGGTTGTGGGGCTTACAGTTCCAGAGGGAGAAGAGCCCATCGTGATGGGGAGACACGATAGCAGGGGCAGGAAGCAGCCAGAGCAGAAAACTAAGGGCTCACATTTTCAAGCACACATAGACAGCGGAGAAAGACAGGAAATGGGACATGGCTGTCCACTCTCGAAGCCCACCCCCAGTGACATGCTTCCTCTAGCATGGCCACACCGCCAAAAGGTTCTATGACCCTCCCCAAACAGCACCACCAAATGGAAACCAAGTGTCCACATACTTGGAACCTATGGGGGACATTCTCATTCAAACCACCACACTGTGATAACTGAATTGCTTATTAACCAAGAACAGTGCCTGTTACAAACGCCAGAGACAGTAGCTGTGGTTACTAAAGGGCTGGACAGTGTTTAAATAAGACACACACAAAAATATCCAAACCATTTTTTAAAAATTGACTTTACAAATTCAACTCCATTAAAATGTAAATTACCTATGCAATAAAGAGCATTATAAACAAAGCAAAGATAAGTTTCAGACTAGAAGAAGATATTTGCAAAGCACTAATGAAAGATCAGTATCTAGAATGTATAAATAATTGCTACAAATCAATAAGCAAAAATACCAGATTAAAAAAATGAGCAACCAATTTAAACAGACAATTCACAGAAAGAAAACCGGAGCAGCTGAGAAACGAAGCGGTGACTAACCCAACTGGAAGTCAGAAAACGCAGCTGAAGCTTCACCCGAGCCAGACGGGGTCACGAAGACCCAGCACTCGGGAACTGACGTAGGACTTCTACAAGTCCAAGGCCAGCTTGGTCTACCTAGTGAGAGCCTACCTCAAAAATACAAAACCAAAACAAGGACTAACACGATGACTCGGTGAGTAAAAGCGCTTGTTGTGGTGCTGGAGAGACGGCTCAGCAGTTAAGAGCACTGACCGCTCTTACAGAGGACCAGGTTCAATTCCCAGCACCTACACCGTAACTAACAATCATATGTAATTCCAGTTCCAGGGGATCTGATGCCGTCTTCTAACGTCTGTGGGCATTGCAGGACACCGGCACACTTACATATGTGCAGGGAATATACTTATACACATAAAATAAAAATAGTTTTTAAAAACACATTTTTTTTTTTTGCTTCGTAAGTGTGGTGATTGGGTGTTCACACCATTTCATGCAATGTACCTTCCCTCAAACCTTGTAACAAAGTCAGCACATTACCTGTCTTATGTGGAAAAAAAAAATTTAATTAAAAATCGGCTGGAGAGACGGCTCAGTGGTCAAGATCACCAAATGCTTTTGCACAGAACCTGAGTCTTGTTCCCAGCGCCCATTTGGGGCAGCTCACAACAGCCTGTCACTCAGCTCTAAGGGATCCAATGCCTCTGGCCTCCACAGGCACCTGCCCTCATGTGCACACACCCCCAGAGAGACACACACACACATTTTTTAAATCTTTAAAAGATGAAAATTTTCAATAAAATACAATTTCGTATCATGTTGACAAATCACTAAACTAGCAATGAACTAATTACTAGCAAGGACAGCAATAGTGAGCATAAGAATGGTCATACGGATCTGCAGATTAGTCTAAGCAAGAGATTCCTCGATGTTTAGACCATACTTCATCAAACCTGACAACAGTGATTACAAGGGGCACCATTAGTTCATGTACTAATGAAAGAAGGAAACTTCCAAATACTCATAAGACACCACGAATGTCAGAGATATTCAAATGAAAAGGACTCTTTCCAATCCCATGAAATATAGTGATAGTGAAAACTTAGAATGGCTTAGATGTTTATCCATCACAGAAACGGCTCCATGAAAGGCACTATATTCAAACAGTGAAACTCTCACAGCAGTTAAAAGTCATAGATCAAAACTACCACTGAAAGAAAATAGTAAGACAAAGAATGATGGACAGCTAGCATTTGTGACCACACCCCCAGAAATTCATCAAACATCTTTTCTACTGACAAACTGCAGTAAGGCCTCAGTTTCCCTGTTTACCTGAGCGTGTGCCCACACCAACCCAGGGCCTGGCAGTACAAAGCCTGAGGGAAGAATTTCGATAAATGCTTACGGTACCACCCTGCAGTTCCTCTCAGCCAAGCTAATGGGAATATAGGCGTATTAAGAGTACATGGGGAATAAAACACTTGGGTGTGGGCGTGGGCCTTTAACCCCGGCGCTCAAGAGGCAGAACCAGGCAGACCTCTGTAAGTTTAAGACCAGCCTGGTCTACGTAGCATATTCTAGGCCAGCCAGGGCTACAAAGTAAGGCCCCTGTCTCAAAAAACTTTTAAATTTTTTAAAAATTTAAAAAATTTTAAAAAGCATGTCTGGCATGCCCAAAACAGTGGTAATTAAGCCTAGAAAAAAAATGAAGTTTTTAAAAATTATGGCTGTGGCTTTTGACAAATAGAGTCAGATATGTAGAACCCCCCCCCATATATATATATATATATATGCATTAATTTTTTTTTTTTTTCTACAGCCCCGCATGGTGGGACAGATCTGTAATCCCAGCATCTAGGTGGTAGACTTCAAAACAAGATTCAGCTACATATGGTGTCCAAGGCCAGCCTGGGCTAGAGCAAACTCTATCTCAAATAAATATTTAAATATTGCAAGAAAACAAATTACGTAAAAAAAATTATGTGAGCAAAGATTTTCTTTTCCATACTAGGGATTAAATCCAAGTTCTCACGCATGCTAAGCAAGCACTCTACCACTGAGCTCCCACCCCCAGCCCATCAACAGGGGAGTCCAGAAGACTGATTTTTAAATGTTGGTGTTCGGACTAATGCAGATTAACAGAGTTGAGTCATCCATCAAATAGCACAAAAAGAAGCTTAATAACATTAAATATTTAAGTAGATGTGGGAACAGTCACCGAAAAGGTGCTGGTGAGAATATAAACTGATTGCCGCTTGGTCTTGTGTCTTGTGTCTCCCCATCACACCTCCCATCAGAATAATATGTAACTCTTAAAGTCGATAGGAATGAAAAGACATTTCACAAAAGACACGTGACAGCAACCTAGTAGATGTAAGCATCATTAGTCGTTAGGGAAATGCAAATCAAGACCACAAGGACCTATGATCTTGACCCTTACCTAGAGAGCCAAAATAAACGATGACAATGCCAACTGCCTGCAAAATTTACACTGTCTCTCAGACGTCACTGCTGGGCACGGAAAATAGTACAGCTGCTCTGAAAATCAGTTTGGTCATTTCTTTGAAAACTAAACATATACTTGTACAAATAACTTTCACAATATCGGATATATTCTGGACTAATTTTTTTACCTAACCTTACAACTAAAAAGTTAATCTTAACTTGTTATAATGTAGACAAGCTCACCGAGCCATGTGCTCCTCTGGTGACTTGGGCATGTGACCTTAATCCCTCATGACCCTTCCTTGTCCTTGAATCAACATTATGAATGTATGTGTGTTTCTTTATGTATCAAGCACTGCACACAGCATTGATCTCACTGCAAGCAATGAGAGAAATGGATAATATCCGTTCATGGCTGTGTGCATGTGTGCTTGTCTATGTCAGGAGGGGTCAGAAAGAAGCACTGCACACAGCATTGATCTCACTGCAAGCAATGAGAGAAATGGATAACATCCGTTCATGGCTGTGTGCATGTAGTGTAATCTGATAAAACATTCCATTTTTCCTTCCCCATTTCATGCTGCTTCAATAAAGAAAGAGAAGGTCCTTGGTTCAGGAGCACAGTTCCAAGAGAGTTCTGAAGGAGCAGGTTCACAGAAGTTCAAGTCTGCTCTTGGTCTTAAAATGGATGCTAAGAGTCAGGCTGTTTTTGTTCAGGCATAATTGCTATGTGGTATCTCATGACCAGCATTGGGTCCAGCAACCTCCAAGAAACAAAAGTCACACTTGAACATGACTGTGTGCTGTAACTTTAATAATGGAAAATGAGAACCAAAACCTCCCTTAACAGATTACATGGCCAGATACCTATACTGTGCAGCAATCCTCATCAACAAAGGATGAGCTATTGGCACACACAGTAACTTGGATGCAGCTCCAGGTTGTACTGTGTGAAAACAACCAATCTTGTGGGACTCAGTGGTATGCACCTATAATCCTAGCATGCAAGAGGCTGAGGCAGGAGGACCTTAAGCTGAGACCAGCCCAAGCTAAATATTAAGACACTATTTCAAAAGGAAAGAAAATCAAAGGAGAGGGGAGGGAGGGAAGGAGGGGAGGGGACCAATCTGTTGCAGAAGAGGCAGAAAGAATGTAGGAACTGGAGAATGTGGGGAGGTTTGTGGACTGATGTTTTCCAAGCACAGCATGGCTCTGCACTCCTGAACCCTCCCCAGCCATGATGGTCTACAGGAGACTGGGCCAGTCAACATCTTGGCCTGGAGCAGGGAGGGGCTCACAAGGCCCCATCTCTCCCTGAGCAGTTAATGGTTGCTAGGGGTTAGGGTGGAGAGAATTGTTCTTCCATGGTGTCACCACTGCCTAATTTATATCTAATTCATACGCATGTGTGTGTGTATATGGGGGAATCTGCCCCTATAAATAACTCTAACTCAACTCACTGGGTCACCACAAAGGATAATAAAAGGAGGGCCATGGTGTCACCACTGCCTAATTTATATCTAATTCATACGCATGTGTGTGTATATATGGGGGAATCTGCCCCAGTAAATAACTCTAACTCAACTCACTGGGTCACCACAAAGGAGAATAAAAGGAGGAAAAAGGAGGCGGGGGAGGAGGAAGAAGAAAGGAAGTGGGGGAGGAGGAAGGGGAGGAGGAGACATGAAAGGGGGACTAGTTGGGAAGGAGATCAGGGATGAGGACAAGAGGGTCATGGGGGTGAATATAATGAAATTACATTATAGAGGGGCTGGAAAGATGGCTCAACATACTGCTCTTACACAGGACCTAAGTTTGGTTCCCAGCACCCACATCAGGCAGCTCATAGCTGCCAGTAACACCAGCTTCTAGGGATCTGATGTCCTCTTCTGGCCTCTGGGGTCATCTCACCACATACACCTGATTAAAAAGAAAAATCTCAAAAAAGTGGTAGATGGTACCTGAGAAATAGCACCCAAGGTTGTCTCCTCGTCTCCACACGCATGCACACACACACACACACAATATATACATATATATATATATGCTTATATCTAATTCATATGTATGTGTGTGCATATATGGGGGAGTCTGAGGTCAGAAGTGACTGTCCTCTCTCACACCTGCTGGTTCCTGTTACCTTTCCTCCCCATTCCTGTCCCACTTACAGGAGCTTTACATTGTCCCAGTTGTGACAACTCCCATTCGCACATAATTCCAACCCTGGGTAGGACAATCCTTGCCTTCTACCAAACCTGCCTGAGAAGGACAGAAAGGTCTAGGAAGAACCCTCCAGAGAGGAGGAGGCCCAAAGAGAGCTTCCTTCCACACCCACATCTCCCCTGGCTGAGGAACCGGCCTCCCTCCATGCCCAGTGCCAGCTCAGTCTGCCCTGAAGATGAGCCTTCCGTCAAAATCCTCCACCTCCGGCTCCACACAGCCCCAGAACGTGATCCACCACACAGCTTTGCAGGAGGGCCAGAGCCTCTGGTCTGGGGCTTCCCTGTGACAGTTATCACGGTGAACATAAAATCCGTGTCTGGAAGCCCCGGCTCCCTTTGAAACCACACATCAGCTCCTGGGTGTTCTCTTCACTCCAATTCCATGCTCTGATTGTGTCACCTAAATTGATTTTTCTGGAACTGCAAGAATTAGCTGAATCTCCACCCTGTACCCTCGCGTCACGGGATGCAGCCCTTCCAGCTGGAGGAAGGCTTGTAACTGCGGCTTGCAGGCTGTGTGGCTTGGATACAGCTCAGAGCCCTGGAGGAAGTTCTGTCTTGACGTTTGATTGTTCACCTGGTTATCAGAGTCTGGGGCTGCAGAGCATTTCCGCCTCTATCACTGACCTCTAAGAGGTGGACACTGGCACTCAGACCCTCTCACCCTCAAGCAACCTCTTCATGGGAACCTTCAAGAACTCGGGGAAGTGGTCAGGCACCACCACAGCCTGAACTCTGTGAGGGAAGCAGATCAGTCAGGAGGAGACCACATGTGGGAATGAGTCTTATAAACAGACATAATCTGGACTAATTACCTTTTTTGAGACAGGGTCTCCCTATAGCCCCAGTGGACCTGGAACTCAATATGTAGGCCAGGCTGGCC